TTTTCTCAACCGGCTACTCGAAATTTATTCGGTTCGGGTCGGTTAACCGATTATAGCTTAACCGATTCAAGTTACTAATGTAGCGATGCTATAATTCAAGAGAGACGTGAATGTGCTATATTAAAAATTCCTAATTTCCAATATACTTTCGACATTACCCTTAGTTAAGCCTGCGAATACTGAAACAGTTAATTTTTTAACATGATAAATTTTATCATTTCCAATTATTTTAAATATTTTGAAGATTTTTCTAGACGTGCTTATTTTTCTTCGGACTTTATCAGGGGTAAAATTAGGAAAAAGTTTCTCAACTTCTGTATTTAATAAAATGTGAGCAGTACGATTATTATTGTCTTTCTTTAACATCTAAAGTCTTTCACAAAAAGCCTCCCCAAATTTAAAATATGAAAATATAGCAGAGTAATTGGTGGTTTTTGTATTTCTTCTGTTATCTTTGATTTAATAAAATGGAAACATAAAGGATCCTGGTCATTTTCAAGAATGTTCATAGAAAGTTTGCCAACAAACGTACTTTCAGTTTCAGGTTCAAAATTATTTAATTCTTCAATAAGTAGTGCTATCACTTTTTCATTTTTTGCTTTTTTGATAGAATTATAAGTAGAACTTGTAGAAGTGTTGATATATGAAGATGGTACTTTGTCTAAAATAACAGACGTTTCATTTGAAATAGTAGGAGCTTCATTCAAGATAGCTGTGATAACCTCTATATTGGAATTGTTAACATGTGCAGTTTCATTCGGAATAATATATTTTCTGTAACACTATTATAAAAATCTTGAGCCTCCATAGAGCTAGTAAAAAATTCGGACCATACAGTGAATGTTTTATTTGAAATATATAAGGTAGTCTTTTCAACAGCAAAATCATTAGATTTAGTATGATGTAGTTGATCTTTATGTCCAATAGATGTTTTATTTTGACTTTGATTTACAGGAAGATCAGGAGCACTTTCATATAAAGGGAAAAGGTGCTTTCATATGAAGAACCAGGGGTGTGTTTATTTGAAAGATTATAAACATTTTTATCTAAAGAACCAGAAACATCTGGACCAAGATTATATTCATATGAATTACTGGTAGATTTATCGAGATCTTCTAAATTACTTTTTGATGAGGTACCCATAGTGTTTTCAGTATCTTCAGTCCGATCTCATTTGTAATTTTCATTACTCAAATGGACCTTACTTTTTTGCTTTCACACTTTACACAAAAAAAAAAAGAAAATTAGATAAACTATTTTATAGCAAGCAGAATCAAGTGATAATTAAAGTCAAAATGGTAATATTCAGAATGCAAACAACAGTCTGACTTGCAAAAGTTACATATCAAGAGGTGCTGTCCAGCACACTGAGACGAGCAAATAAGCACGTCTTGAGCATTTCAACGTCAACACCTCTAAGTCTTCTGAAATAACAGTTAATATTGTATAAAATAAATAGTGGGTGGATCTATAGCCTATATCACCAAATTTTTTATGAACCCAATTCATATAATGTTCAAGGGACTATTGTTTGTAAGAATAAGATCTAAAATAATGAATTTTCTCCTTCAAAGCTTTTTTAGATAAAGAATGAGTCAAAATGAGCTGACTAATCAAGCTAAACATATTTATTTATATTTATTGGACATATAAGCAACTATATTTCTGTATTCAGAAAACTTCTGGACATAAATTTTGTTTTGAGAAGACGAAACTGTAGTTAGAAAAAATTGTCATGTTTATTTGTTTCTGCAGTACTGTTATTTATAATTGTTTGAACTACCCAGGATCACTATCAAAATTTCTATAATTTGGTGTAATGTAATACAATCAGAAAAATTCAAAACAAACATTCATTTTTGAAAATTAGCATAAGAAACAAATTTTCTTGAGCAATTTTACTATACTTGCTACTAAATTTTAACTCTTATACTAACCCTAATTTTACATAAATAGACTTTAAAGAATTTTATGCATATTATATGAACATGAAAATTTGGTAATGATACAGTAGAGATGCAAGTTTACACTATACCATATTATATGATTGGTATAATACCAGTATTATATACAGAGGTATACACAGGTCGAACAAAGAACTACTAGATATCGGTATGCCGATATGTACCAATAGGTGCCCAGTAGTAAAATGATAGTTTACTGATAGTTAAATCCGATATGTATCTGATATGACTTCTATATTAAACAGAAATTTGGCTCATATAGAGCACCTATTGGATAAATATTGGTATCATATCAGTAACATATTAGTGCCATATCGGTACTTCGATATATGATAGAGAAAACCCTATATGTATCCTATGTTTTTCTAAACTAGATACATATCAGGTTACTAAAGGCTTATCGGTATAAACTATATTTACTAAGAATTTAAATTTATATATATAAATTAAAATTAAATTTTTTTATTTAAATAATAAATTTTATATTATACATGCTAAATAAAAAAAATAAATTTAGCCAAAAGAAAACTCCAACCCCAACCAAGTACCCTAGCCATGGCAAAGAAAGAATTTGTCACGCAATGATCTGCGGGTAAATTAGCTACTAACGAAATTCGAATATGACGTAACATAACACAATCAGGAAAAATCAAAACAAATGTCTGTTTTTTTAAAAATCGCCTATTTCTCAAACATTTTCATAAGAAATCGCCATTGCGCTTTAACAAAAAAATTTCTTTAAGGAATTTTACTATATGCAGCTAAAAACTAACCTAATATAAGCAATTTCGGCAACAACTTCAATAGCGATCAATGATGGCTCCAACAGCGATTCCGGTAGCAACTTTAATGGCGATTCAAAACTGAAAGTCCATTTTGAAGATCTAACTATTGACGCCGAAAGGAAACTAGAACCTAAATGAAAAAAAATGATGTAAAAAAGGGATACTTATAAGAAAGAATGCCAGAAAGCGAAACTGAAAGTCTATTTCGAAGATCTAACTATGGACGCTGAAGTAACAAGAAAAGAAGCTAGAGTCTAAATAAAAAAGAATGAAGTTAGTACTAATTATATATTAAGAAAAAAAAAAAGGATACTTATAAGAAAGAACACCAGGAAGTGAAACCAAAAGTCTATTTCAAAGATCTAACCATAGACGCCGAAGTAACGAAAAAGGAAGCTAAAGTCTAAATAAAAAAGAATGAAGTTAGTACTAATTATATATTAAGAAAAAAACAAAAAAAGGGATACTTATAAGAAAGAATACTAAGAAGCGAAACCAAAAGTCTATTTTGAAGATTTAACTATAGACGCCAAAGTAATGAGAAAGAAAGCTAGAACCTAAAGAAAAAAAGAAGAATGAAGTTAGTACTAATTATATATTGAGGAAAAAAAAAAAAGGAATACTTATAAGAAAGAATGCCGGAAAGCGAAACCAAAAGTCTATTTTGAAGATCTAACTATTGACACTGAAGTAACGAGAAAGGAAGCTAGAGTCTAAATAAAAAAGAATGAAGTTAGTACTAATTATATATTAAGAAAAAAAGAAAAAAAAAGGGATACTTGCCAGGAAGTAAAACTGAAAGTCTATTTCGAAGATCTAATCATAGACGCTGAAGTAATGAGAAAGAAAGCTAGAATCTAAAGAAAAAAGGAGAACCTAAAGAAAAAAGGAGAATGAAGTTAGTACTAATTATATATTAAATGCGTAAGGTCTTAAAAAACTCTTTCCGATGATCTCTCAAAAAATTGAAAAAATAACAAAATAAAAGAAAGCTACAGTAAAAAGAACCTAAATAAAGCCAGAACATAGACAA